CAAACGTCCGCCTCTCCTTCCCCTGCCCCTGCCTCTTCTTCTTCCACGAGATTCTCCAGCTGATGGAAACCTTTTCTTTTGAGTGGGTCCTTTCTTTTTTTCATATAACGGGGGAAGAACTTTAAGTGCTCGAATATCATCTGGTATGACCCATTCAGACATATGAGGAACAGGATAAATCGTCCTACAGTATGCCAAGACCCACAACTCCACCAAGTAGTATTTCGTACAAAACTCTTGTAGATGAACATCTCTTCCTACGCTCAAGAATTTGGCAGCAGCTGCAGCATGAACACATGGGATTTTGTCTATATCAAAACGCCTGCAGGTGCACATTTTTCTTGCCAAATCAACCGTATAAATCTTTCCGTCACTACCATTGACATTGTACTCAAGGTGGAAGCTGTTTATCTCAACAACATCTAAACACCTCGCCTCCAAACATGTTTTTGCCAACTGTTTTTCCACTGTTGGCACAAACTTCTTTGTGAGTGGTATTTCAGCTGCCTTCTTCCTATGCTTGTTAAACCATTCAGTCATTTTCTTGATGATAACATCAATCATCGGCAGCATGAAGTATTTCCTAGCAACAAGAAGAACACCATTAATGGATTCTGCTGCATTAGTTGTGTTAACATTGTATCTGTCTCCTTCAAAGTAACATCTTGCCCATTTTCTCACTTCAACACTTTTCTCTAGATACGCCGCAGCAGAAGGAAACCGATTGGAAAATTCAGCATAGAGATCATCGAACTCAGCCACTGTATAAGCATGTGCACACTCTGTAAACTTTTTTGCGCAATCGTCTCTGTTGTTGAAAACATGTCCTTTGACATTTTGAGACAAATGCCATACACAATATCCATGTGCGGCCGTTGGGAACACCTCACGTATTGACTTGATCAAGCCTGCATTTCTATCCGAAAGAAACACCAATTCGCCTTCATCTGATATCACTGACCTCAACTTATTCATAAACCACATCCAGCTTTCTTCCTTCTCACCATCAACTACACCGAATGCGATAGGGTAGTGGTGACGATCAGGATCTTGAGCCGTCGCAACAAGAAGAACTCCACCATAAACATGCTTAAGATGTGTCCCATCCACAATGATAACTTTCCTCATCGCTGCGAACCCTTCTATGGAAGCTCCAAATGCAAAAAATAGATACTTAAATCTTTTCGCCGCATCCACTTCAACATAACTTACTGAGTCAGGATTCTTCAACTCTAGCATGTACATGTAAGAGTGTATCATAGAAAAACTTTCTTCTGGAGTACCTCGGACTTCATTAGCTGCCATCCTTTTCCCTCTCCATGCTGTGGCATATGAGACATCAACACCAACCTTGTGGGTAACCATACTGATCAGATCTTTTGGTGTTGGTGTGTCATATCTACCGGGATATTCTTCACTCAAAACAGATGCGATAATTTGTGGTGTGCCTTTCCTTTTATTTCTAAGGGTACTTGTAGTTACCACTGAGCATGTATGAGACTTGACGTAAGTTCTAACCGTCCAAAGATCTGAATTCTTAAGCTTTACTACACGCAAATACCACTTGCAACCTTCTTTGGCTCCACGACATTTTGCCAAAAATCTCCAAGTATCAGACTTAGCTGTATACTCAAAACCATTCTTATGCGCACCCCTCTGAACTAGAACTTGCATTTCTGTCTTAGTTCTGAATTCTTGACCCTTAAACAAATTGAGACCATCATCCCATTCTTCTTCTACAATTGTTGTGGCTTCAGCTCCTGCTCCTGCATCTTCAACTCCCGCTCTTGCAGCTTCAACTCCCGCTGTTGCAGCTTCAACTCCCGCTGTTGCAGCTTCAACTCCCGCTGTTGCAGCTTCAACTCCCATTCCGACTTCTGTTCCTTCATACCTATGCTCTATATGCTCTAAATCCTCATGCATCTCAAAGTCTTCATGTTGTTCAGCTGTGTAAAGCGTGACCATGCCATCCATCACATGATCCTGATCTGTTCCATCTGGCTCAGCTCCATAAAGTGTGACCATGCCATCCATCTCATGATCCTGATCTGTTCTATCTGGCTCAGCTCCATCTTTCTCAATCTCATCTTCCTCGGTCTCATCTTTCTCGTTCCAATCCTCCGTATCAGTATCCTCTTCATCAGAAAGACCAACATAGCTATCATCAGTTTCATCATCATATCCTGAAAGCGAAATACCACCATATGTATCATCCATGTCACTGCTGATCTCCACATGTAAAACACTTCTACATTGATCATGATTTACTTGCATGAGATAACCCAAAACGTCTTCATCAGTCCAAATATATGATGGTATGCTCGAATACAACACCATTGGAAAGTAACTAATCTTCAGCATCCAATCTCCATTTGCCTTAATCTTTCTGCATATATTATCAACCAATTCAGAATATGTAACCTCTTCCACAGATGTTTTCATCACTAGAGTGTGAATTTGATCTTCTCCCGAGATCCACTTTATCTCAGGCCCATACTTGATGTAACTTCCTCCATAGTCAAAACATATGACTGTAATGGGAGAAGCCATATAATTCCCTGAAGAAAATAAAACTATGATTAGTTAACCATTTACAGAATCTAAGTTGTATAAGATCTTTGGTACATAGTCGTTCCAGTAATACAAGTAATATACGTTTCACTTTAGTAATACCAGTCGTTCTAGTAGTTCTTATAAATTTTTGTTTTTCTCTATTTAACACTTATAATTGATCATGAGGGTGTTATACAACCCACAATATCGTCTACCACTATTGTAATGCATTATTATGGTTTAAAACAGTGCAAAATAAGAAGAAATATACAAAATCGCCCTTAAACATCCCTTTTCATAACAATATACCTAAAACTTCCATTTTGACCTAAAACTTTAGTTTTTCATCGGTTTAAGTCTTTTTAATCAACTAATAATGTGTTACACAACCCAGATTATCTTCTAACACAATTTTCATACTTTTTTCTTTCAAAACCGTGTTAAAAATAGAGAACAATACAAAATCTTCTTCAAACATTATTTTCAGTTTTCTTTGAAAACTCTCACGATTTCAACAGCAAAATGTTGATATTTTTCGTTTCACATAATATATAAAACATAAGTAGTATATTATTATGAAAATTTCGTGAAAAAAACGCACCAATTTCTTTCAAAAAAACCTTCAAAATCGCCAATGGAACTAAGAACATGAGAAGAAAATGTTTTTGGTTGGGGAAGAGGAAACAAGATGGGAGAAAGGAGACAGGATGCGACAGCTGTCGGAAGGAGAGAGGTGGATTGGTGTAGGGTCCGCTTGTTAGGTTTCACAATTTATGGGACCATTAGGCCATGTTCAAAGGGGGCACATATACTATGTGCTTAGCCTTTTAAAAATAGGATTTAATAGAAAAGTGGCCCAAGAACACTTTTAGAGTTCTTGTTGAAGATCAGTGCTTAGCTCATGTGCTTGGGGACGTGTCACGCGCGTATTGGTCGAAAAAAAGGGGGAAAATAAGGGTTTTCGTTTTTGTTTGAGAATATATGAAATAAATTTGGACATTAAACATTGTATTAATTAAATAAAATGTTTGTATGTTTAATTAAATAATAATTAAATATGTTTGTATGTTTAATTAAATAAAAAGTTTGCATGTTTAATTTTGATTGTATTTTGTGTTTTTAAAATTTTTCACATCAATTTTAGTATAAATTTTCTTCTCTCATTATTTTCTAATTTTTTAATTTTAAGCACACCCATAAACAAAGTGATCTTCCTTTGACTAGTTCCCATGTTCTTAAGCAAAATACATTATTTTACTAATATTTTAACCCTAGGCACACTCTTTAGTGTGCCCCCTTTGAACATGCCCTTATGTGCGACATAATGGGAAAAGAGAGAGAGAGGAGAGAGGAAAGTGATATAAGATATTAATATAATATTAAGGGTAATAAGGAGAAGAAAAATATGAGAAAAAAATGTGTGGCAAGTAGAATTTTTGTGTGGCAAAGAGAATACTTTTTTTATATGTGTGGCTATGGAGAATACTCTCCAAGATCTGGGAAGGCTATCTTAGCCCAAGTTTAAAAAGAGTTCAATATAACCCCACGCTTATCTTTGGCACGTGAACACCACTGCTATGGAAGATTAAAGGGATAATAATCAGCTGTCATTAGCGCGTGGTTCTAAAATCTTGACTGTCTTAACGTCGTGCAACGTGTTCCGGTCAAAATAGTACACGTGCCACAATACAATTTGTTATTATCCAGAACAGAACAAGCTAAGTCTTTTTAACTTCTAGAAATCCATCTGGCCGTACGTTTCATATCCGACGGCTGTAATTAATTAAAATGAGCAAAAAAGAAAAAAAAAAAAAAAAAAAGGTGAGTGAGCGTACAAGAGAGGTTAAGCAGTTTCTTTTCCTCTGTGATTGTTTAAAGAAGAGAGATATAAAACAGAGAAGAATAAAAGACAGTGTTAAATCTACACTCTTCTTTGGTGGAATTTGAATCTAATCCATAAATCTTCTGAGAGAAAAAGAAAAGATCAATTCACTCTTGTAAGTGTTCTCTTATAGTCTTGATCTTCTTTTTGGATTTTCTGTAAGTTATAGGCTGTATTTTTTTTTTGCATATAAACTACAATGGTGGATTTGAGTTCTAGAAATTTTGAAGAATGGATCCTGTTAACACTCTTATTTATAGATTTTACTCTATTTTTTTTTTCTAGTTTTCTTATACTGTTATGGATATTGCTGCTTTGTAGGGTGATTCTGGTATTGTTGAAGCTAAAGCAGTGAGTTTAAGTTGCAGATCTTGAGGTTAGTGAATCTTTGTTTTGTACTAACTAGTTCAGATTGGTCTTCTTTTTATCTCTGGTGTGTGAAAGGCTGTAACTTTCTTAGTGTTGTCTACTTCTGGAAAAATGTTTTAATGTGTGTGTGTATGTCTCTTTGTTGGTTGGTTGTGTTAGATTCTTAGAGTATTGTGTAATGGAAGAAGTAAAGGGACAAAGAGGAAACGGAACCACGGAGGCAGATTTTGTGTTGCAATGGGGGGAGAGGAAGAGAGTTAGATGCATGAAAGTGAAGAAGGACCAAAGCCGCAAGTCATCTGATTCTTTGTCTAAGCGCAAACTCATTTCTCGTGCTGTCTCTTCCGAGAGAGGCTCCCCTTCTCGTCATCTTAACCGTCCAAACAAGTAAAAGTTTGATTCAGTGCTTGTGTTCGTTCTCTCTTTGAGTGATTTGTTTTTGATGTTTGTCTCTTGGGTGATGATAGGGTGGTAGATTCTCCAGGTAATGTGAGGAGATCGTTTGTGGCGTCACCTGAGAAGGAAGATAGGTACTACACAACGAGGGGTTCTATGGGTACAGATGAGAGTGGGAGAGTTATAAAGGAGCCTGTGAAGGAGAGTAACAAGAAGCATGTGTGGCCAAAGTTGTTTATAACTCTGTCAAATAAAGAGAAGGAAGAAGATTTCTTGGCTATGAAAGGGTGCAAGCTTCCTCAAAGACCCAAGAAACGAGCCAAGCTGGTTCAGAAGACTTTGCTTGTGAGTCAGTCCCCTTCAGGACTTTGTGATTTGTGTTTGTTCAAAGCCCCTCTCTCTCATTGTGATGCTATGTAATGCTTTATGCAGCTGGTGAGTCCAGGTACTTGGTTATCAGATTTGTGCAAAGAGAGGTATGAAGTAAGAGAGAAGAAGACATCAAAGAAGGTATCTGATTGTCTCTTTCCGCAATAAAGTATGTGAGAATACTTTCTTTGTGATGCAAAGATGATGTGATAATATTATGTTTTTAATGAAGCGACCAAGAGGACTGAAGGCAATGGGGAGCATGGAAAGCGATTCAGAGTAAAGAACCATCGAGCGAAAAGACTTAAGAAACATTCAAGATTTGGTGAAGGCTAGAAAGGAGGAATATGTTTTGTTTCTATCATTACATTTTGAGATGCCCTCTCTTAAGTACAGGTCAACAACTATGAGGAGGCATTTGTATTTTTTTCCCTGAATGTTTTGCTTTTGAAGCTAATCTACAAGTCTTTATCAAAATCCATTTTCTCAGCCTTCTTACTATTGATTTAATAACTTGTTGAATCTTACATGATGAGAAAAGGTTTTTGCATTTTTATTCTGGATATGGATGGGCAAAAGTGTTATGACAAGTTGACAACTCCAAACACAGATCAAGAATATATTAGAAGTGGAAACAAAATCTGCACACAGATTAGTGTCTGAATATTACAACACACCAACCAAAACTGCAGCTACCACACTACCAAGGTAGGTTGCATGGAATCGGAAATAGATACCTGGAAACAAAACGTTTCGTAACATGGAAACAAAACGTTTCGTAACATGGAAACGTGATTTTCATAAAAATTAGAAATGGAAAAGTTTTAGAAACGTTCATAATATATGCGTAAATATATGATTAATTAACATGTAAGTTTAATTTGTTTTTTTGTTTGATTAATCTAAGAGAGAAAATCAAGTAATATAAATGTTGTTTTTTTTTGGTATATTTGTAAATAATTCTAATAAATAATTAGAAAACTGACACATATTATCATTCGATAAAACTATGGGACTGATTTAATTCTTGATCAAATAAATATCAAAAAATAATATTAAAATATAAGTTACTAAACATGTAATTCAGAACATTAATCAGAAACGCAAGTTTCCAAATCAGAAACGTAAGTTTCATTATGTTTCCAAAATGAAAATTTCAAGAAACGCGTTTCCAAAAAAATTCTTCAAGTTTCCAAAAGATTCCAATTCTGAAACGTTTCCAAAGCAGGAAACAAACCTTTATCGGAGTTTCCATGCAATCTATCTACCAAGTACCAACTTCTTTTACCTAACGAGTCACAAGTCTCCTACTTCCCTTGTTATTTTCTCAGTTACAGAAAATATAGATAATTCTGCACTTTAATTTAGAATCTAGTTTAATCTTTATTTTTGGGCTTTTTGATACTTTTAATTTTTATTTTTGGGTTTTAGCACTGTCTAAGAATCACACATATTTGGTTACAGCTAGATAAATCTCTTATATATTAAAGGAAAACATTTCCATTTAATGTATTCACATTACGTTTGCTATGTGGGGTTTTTGCAAATTTGACTCAAAACTCATGGTCAAACACAAAACTAACTTCTTCTTTTATCTCATCTTGTTTTTGTCCTATCCACCCCACATGTTCATTTTATTTACGAAAATGCCATTAAATTTTTTTTTTTATTTTTTTTCGAAAATGGCCTTTTTACTCTCTCAACCTCATCATCTTCAAGTATTTACAACAT